CAAAATTGTCTGATTGTGTTTGCAAATCAAATCTAAAATTTTCAATAATACAGAAAATCTGTAGATTAGATAACTAGATTTAGTTGTCCTTGTGCCACATACAGCATTACATGCTAATGGCACATTTGTTTATTTATTGTATTTTTTAAAACAGCTCAATAGCCAAGGGTCTTTGGTAAACACAGTAATGATAAAAATAGCGTCAGGCAGTTTTTGGCACATTTTGACCAGTATTACATAAATGCAACAGTTTATTTTTATCCCAAGCATGTTCACGTTACTCTCTGCAAGTGAGAACATTTAATCTAGAGAATAACTTGAAAATCAACATATTGCTGCCTGCATCCCACTAACAAAGAGGTCCATGCTAGATCTGTGTATACTAGAATGCTCATTGAAAAAAAAATTAATACAATGAGTTTTGCTGAAAAAAGAGAAAATGTCTGTGTATAATATAAAATATGATTTTGCCTATTTTGTTATGTAGAAGTGAGATTTGCATAAGTCAAAAGAAACATAAAAACACAGGTATTCCTTGTTTAGGGGGACCAGCAACTCAGTCTTTTTGCAAAATGGTTGCTAAGTGAAACCGCAAATGGCTTATGATCTTATTTTAGTTTACCTGTGCTTTACAGACCTGCAAAGGTGATAAATGTGAGGATTTGTCATAAAGTTCCTTTTTCATCACCATCAAATCTACGAACCATTATTAAACAAGGTATTCACTAAATGAGGACTGCTTGTAAGTTAAGTGCAGTAAAAATAGGCTACTTACAAAGTATGTATGTTTAAGGCAAGAAGACATATAGTCAAGAATAAATGGTGCTAAATGACTCCGGGTTTAAGTGAGGTGCTTCTGGTCATACAGAGTGAATGAAAAAGGACTGAAATACAAAATAAATATATGAAAGAAGAAGGACCGGATTGAAAGAAAGAGGAATACTGACAAGCTGAACTGAGTTGTTGAAATCCTTAGTAAGAAGGAGGTGAGAAGAGCCAAAGGCAATTAATGGAGTGGTATATGGGTGAAGGGAAAGAAAAGAATGGTTTGCAAGAGTAGAAAGAAATGGAGCGAGTAAATGTTTTGGTGTAAATTATCACTTCAGCTGTATTTCCTTATTTATTTATTTATTTATTTATTTATTTATTTATTTATTTATTTATTTATTTAAAACATTTATATAGCCACCCATCTTGTACAAACTCTGAGCAACTCACAACCAAACATAAAAACAATTCTTTGTAAAATAAATGTGTTTATTTATATATATATTTATTTTTATTTAAACCAAAAATATTAAAACCAGAATATATGGTATTTATTTACAACCATAGGTTTTAGAAAAATTCATATAAAATTGAAACAGTCCACATCACTTCAGTATATGCCCTCTAACCACTATTTGTCAACATGGTGCTTTCAGACCTTCCTTGCAGCTATTGTAAGCAGCACAACTTGTTTTCTTACATGTTCATGTACATCAGTCAACAGAAAATATATTTTTCTACTAAATTAGACTGATTCAGATGGATTAACAAAGGCATGATGAATCTAGCTCTAGGTTCCTGATATAATTTACAATGTAGTAAGTAATGGATCAAATCTTTGCTTATGAGTTATTACAGATGCAAAAACGGTGTGTATTTGATAATCTTTTATACCCTCCATCTAAATAGGATGTTGGCATATTTGAAAATGAAGTTCTATGAAGGTTTATCTTAGGATATGAGATATAAGAGACTAGGTTTTAGATCCATAGAATAGAATAGAATAGAATAGAATAGAATAGAATAGAATAGAATAGAATAGAAGAGTTGAAAGGGACCTTGGAGGTCTTCTAGTCCAACCCCTGCTTAGGCAAGAAACACTATACCACTTCAGACAAATGGTTATCCAACATCTTAAAAACTCCCAGTGTTGGAGCATTCACAACTTCTGGAGGCAAGTTGTTCTACTGATTAATTGTTCTGTCAGGAAATTTCTCCTTAGTTCTAAATTGCTTCTCCTTGATTAGTTTCCACCCATTGTTTCTTGTCCTGCCCTCAGGTGCTTTGGAGAATAGCTTGACTCCCTCTTCTTTGTGGCAGCCCCTGAGATAGTGGAACATTGCTATCATGTCTCCCCTAGTCCTTCTTTTCATTAAACTAGACATAACCAGTTCCTGCAACTGTTCTTCATATGTTTTAGACCCCAGTCCCTATGAATGGCAGCAGTGAAGGGAAGGGCCAGGAATGTGCCTATTCTATCAATCTGGTAGGATGGCAAATGTCCTTAGGGAGAGGTGGTCCTACCAATAACCTGGTCCCATGCCACATAGAGTTTTAAAAGTAATAATCAACAACTTGAATTGCAGGAACGAAATGAGCCAGTGCAGCTAGGGCAACAGTAGTATAATGTGGATAAATTTAGGGGCACCCATCACTGCATGCCCAGCTGCTCCTAGGTTTCTAGCCTGATGCTCCAGCCTCTATATCAAACTAGCTCTCACAAATTATTTGCTTTGTTTTTTTACAAAAAAATAAAGCGGTGGTACTTATAAATTGTTTTCCAAGTATTTAAGAGGAAACAATCAAACTGGTCTTAATCAGCATAAAGAAAGGCTGCACTTTAGCTATATGCCTAGCCTACTGTATACAGTACACAGTACGGGGAATGGCAGTGGTAGAGCATCAGTTTTATATTGGGTCCCAATGAATGCAGGGAACAAAAAATCTCTCAGAAAGCTGGCTAGGGAATTCTTGGAGTTGAAGTCCATACATTTAAAATTGCCATGTTTGGAAAACATTGGAGTAGATGGCAGGATACAAATCACTATTAAACATAACCAATAAGATGAAATTACATTATTTATTAATTATGCAAATATTAGACCTACAGTATCTCTGTATAGGGGAAATCAAAAGTTCTTCAAGTTAGAGCACAGCCCAGTAATGCTAATTTTAAAAGGTATAATCTTCATATATTTTTATGACTAGGGCCCTCCTACCTAAAAATATATTCTGTGTTTAGAAATATACAACATATTAATTTTTTAAAAGGCTGTTAAGAAATTTTCAAGAGGTATTTATTTTACTTGGATGTTTTGACTGTTTAATATACCAGCCTTGGCAATTGCCAGCAATTGCCTTGCTTTTGGTTCTGCAGTAGAAATTTCCTTCCTTTGTTTAAACAGATCTTTACACAATAGGTAAGCGTCATTGTGTATGTGTTAGATTGCTTGTGTTGTGAGATAATATGTAGACAAAATAATGTTTTTCCTGTCAAATATTGAGTAGGCATCAATGGCAAAGTGACAGGTGGTTTAAATAGCTGGCATTTACAATGATTTCATGAAGATGTTTTCCTTTTTTGGACAGGCATCAAAAACCTTGATTTGAAAAGAGAAGACTGATGAAATCTGTTTTGCAGCACTGTGCAGTTTTATATTTGATTTTCACTTGGTACAAAAGGGTATGAAAATGCAAGAATAGGTTTACTATGTCAGTTTAACAGCTCCTCTAGCATATGATTTTGCTTGTGATTTAGGATTATTTACTTTATTTTAATATCTGTGTTCATGATTTTAAATACATTTTTAGCATAAAGGACAATTAAGCAAAGTTTTTCTGATAAGAAAGTGGAAAGATAGGAAAAACCTATTATATGTTTGTATATGATTCTGCTTTGACAGATACAGGAGCAAAGATAGTGAGGAAAAACAGCTAGCAACTGTATTATCATTGAAAATATTGTATGTTAGTATAAAAGATGACATCTCATGCTTGGAATAGGAATTAAAGCAGCTCCTCTTCAGGCAACTTCATATCTTTTAGCAAATAAATTATTGATTAGGTTAGCCATATATGCATAGAAGGACAATATGTGTCTTACATCCAGAGTGCATGAGGACACCCAATTTATTCTCTAGTTGGTGGCTTGAAAGCTATTCTTTAGATCAGTGTTTCTTAGACCCCTATCAGGTGTTCTCAAAATTAAAATCACTTCCCAAAACTATGTTGAAAAATAAGACAATGTTAAAATCCCACAGAACAGTCAGGAGAAGTTGTAGCAGCAGTGAATGCATCAGTTTTAAATTTTAATATGGTAAATATTGTTAAACATAATCTATATAATCAAGAGCTTTTTTTGGGGCTTGCCATAATTTTTAAATCTAGATTAATATTAAGTAAAGAAAAAGACAACCAGCAGCAAGGTGGATGGACTCTGTTTCAGTAGGGTTATGTGTTAAGCAATAGATCTTCATACTTTTGTATATTTACACAAAGTCAGCTTATTGCCCCAGCAAACTGGGTCCTCATTTTACCTACCTTAGAAAGGATGGAAGGCTGAGTCAACCTTGAGCCTGGTGAGATTCGAACTTACAGTAATTGCAGACAGCTGGTGTTAATCATAATGCTTTTACTTGAAACTTGAAAGAACAGGCTAGAAATAGATAGTCATAAGGAAAGAAAAATCTATCTCTGTGGTCACTAGGGGCCAAAAAATGACTTGATGACATATAATCATAATTTTTAAAAGTGGGAAGGAGTCCTGAGAAGTAAAAAAAAAAAAAAAAGTTGAAGTACACTGCTTTAGATTGAATAGAATAGTGTGAAGATGCTTCAAGTAAAACCAGGCTTTATTTGTACAGTGTTCTTTGTGTTAGTGTGGAATGGCACATGGCATTTACAAGATTTACAAGACAACCATCCGCCCTGTTGCACTTTATGACACTGAATGCTGGGCAGCAACAATGGGGTCCGAAAGCTATCTCCATGCCATGAAAATGCAAATGCTCTGTTGGATATCGGGCATCCCCCTTCTTGACCACATCATTACACCATTCAACAACATTTTAGTGTGGCACCAATTATAGAGAAGATGAGAGAAGCCAACTCCGTTGGTATGGACATGTCCAGAGAGCAGCATCATCCACTGTGACCAAGACTACCTACCAACTAGAAGTCAATGGTCAGCGATCTCGCGGGCATCCAAAACAGAGATGGCAAGACACCATCATCAAAGATATGCAAGCCATGTTCCTGCACCCTGGAGATGCAGCTGACCATGCAAAGTGGTGCTCAATAATCCGAAAAGCGGACCCTACACCTGGGGGAATATTCTGGAAAGAAGATGGAATGGTACATGTCATAGGTATAATTAAGGTCTATCCTTTCTTTATTTTATTTAAAGGTATTCTGTGAAGGATTTTTTTTAACCAAAGCTATGATGATGGGCAATGATACATCTTATTTGTTGGTGTTTACTAGAGTATAATAGATAATGAGTATATGGTGAAGAAATCAATCTACATATCAATACCAAGGAAATGAGATTTAACAGACTGTGCAAACTATCACTCCAAAGAAAGAGAAAGTGAGAGTATTTGACTTCTGAGGGCTTCCTCCAATCATAGACACAAGAGAATATAATACACTTTGCAAAGAATTCCCTGTTGTTCTATTTCTTTCTCACTGATTTCATTTATGTGAGGATTCCATATTGTGCTAGTTTTTTTAAGCATTTCTGTATGGTTTACTGAGCTGCAAAAGCTAGGCCAATAGTTTTTTATTCTTTGTAGTTAAGAAACAAAATTTTAGCACAACACATGATTATATTATTGTTCAGCAACTATATACAAAATAAGCTTACCCCAACTGTCTTCAGATGAGATGGAATACAATCCTTAAAATTCAGAATCAATTTTTGGAAGTTACCACACTTCTAAAGGCTGATAGAGATACTACATAATAATTTCATCCAGTTCTGGCCATCTTTGAAAGGTTACTGGCAGATATTTCCCATTTCTTAAAAAAGAAAAATCAGAATGTTAGATGTATAGCACAAAACCTCTGAATCCATCTGTCTAAAATATGACAAGTTTCAGCTCCTCTTAAGTATGTATTGTAACGGCAAATATTATTCAATTCAGTCAAACATGGGGGGGGGGAAAGAGAAGAAAAAATAGCACTTTGTTGTTTTCTAATGATAATCTGGAGGCAGCACAGGGAATATGGAAATCATGAGGTAAAAATGGGCAGGTTACATAATTGGGGTCTATGTGTGTATTATGGCTCTTGCCTCTCCATCTGGAGAAAATTGATTCATTTCTCAGGCTTTGCTCAGAAACACCAATATAGTGAAAACCTGTAATTATTTTTCAAGATGGCAACCCAGTGATTCAGCAAAAAACTGATTTTTGATCAGCATGCACAGACATACATATCCCTATGTGTATGTATACCTATTGGTGGATATAAAAACAGTTGTATCTAATTACTTCTAAATATCATCACCACCATGTAGAATTTCAGAAGCATCTTATTCTCTAAGGCCCTTTAAATTACTTTTTAAATATCTAGCAGCTGCAAGAAAAGTTCTCTCTGATTTGTCATTTAAATGCAATGAATAGTTTTGAAAATACTGCATTATAGTTTGATCGCAAATGACTTTTTCTGGGAACCTGATTTGATAATCAAAATTCAGGAGGCATCATGTAAATTGGTTGAGTAAGACATGTGGTTATTTCTTTTGCTCCTAGAACAAATGCACATGCATGTACAATCAATGTAAATATTTGCATGAGTTTTATATTCAGCTTTAGTGAATATTAATGCCTAGATCTGTGAAGCTTTTATTCCAGTTTGTGCGTAAGAAAGGCCACAGATGAATTAACCATTTATTTGGCATCTGCATGGTGTCTTCGGCTTCGTGCTTGTGCGAGGAAAGCGTGATCGGAGCTGCCATTTCTCTATAAATACTGGTGGGGAGGTGTGGGGTGCTGGCTTTGTTGCTGTGGGCGAGTTGATTGCCTCTATTGCTACATCCTGATTAGTTGATGGAGTTGATGTTTGCAGATTAGTCAGCTGTTTCGTAACATCCTGTGTGGGTGAGGTCCTTGATGTGTGCCCATTAGTCTTTTGTGTTTTAACGACCTGGGTAATGGGCTATGTGTTAACATCCTGAGTTCTAGTTTTGTGATATCCTGAGTTTTTTGATGTAATGTCCTGAGCAGATGGCTGTGATGCCAAATCCCTGGCTTTGGTTTGACTCCGAGTTTGAGGTCTTGCCATGTGTTCATGGCGTGTGTCAGTTTGCTTTGTGTGGGGATCAGAGGGGGCTGCAGCAGCTGGTGTTGCCGCCGTGGTCTGGCTTCTGGATGGTGGTTGTATTTCGTCTATGGGATGGGTTTGGGTTTGAATCTGGTGAGGATGATTGGTGGTGGTGTCATGTGTTATCTTGGGTCCGGTGTTAATCTTCGTGGCTGGGACTCTTCTGTTGACTAGGCTAGTTTCCAGATGTCTGGTAGGTGGGAGGTATTGTCGCGCTTATTTATGTTATGGGGGTGTTTCTCTATTTCGATGGCTTCCATGATTATTCTCTTGTTGAAGTGTCAGTTCTGGAGATTAATTTGGTTCCTTCAAAATCAATTTCGTGTCCTGTTGTTTTAAGGTGCTGGAAAAGGGACGAAGTTTTTTCTTCTTTTCTGATTGCGTTCTTGTGTTCTGCAATGCGTGCATTTATTCTCCTATTAGTTTGTCCAATGTATGTGGCTGGGCAGATTTTGCATGGTATTTCATAGACTCCTTGGTTTTCTAGCTGGATCTTGTCTTTGGGGTTTCTTAAGATGTTGGCTATTTTTTGGTCAGTGCAGAACCTGCACTGCACTGACCAAAAAATAGCCAACATCTTAAGTTTGCAGCCATAGCTCAGTGAAATCACATCCACTATCCTAGTGTCAGCTATCCAGAAAAAAACCCCACTCCAAGTAAAGACGCGGAAGCAAGCATTTTCCAAAGTCCTCTTTACTAGAAAAGGCAAACTGGCACATCTGGGGAATCCCGAATCTGAAAAGCCCGGGCTTTCCCTCAGTAATTCAAAGCTCCCAAAACCATCCCATTTCTCCCCAGTCGGTCACATGCTCCAATCAACGTCTGTTCCACTTCGATTCAGCCCCGACCACTCCTCCTCCAGATGCTGGAATGCCCTGCCCTTGACTGATAGGAAGAATGCTATTATGTCTACTAATTCCCCTCTTCTAAATCCCCCCTCCTACTTTCCCACACACGAGGAGGTGGCAGCATTGAAGCCTCCGGCCTAATATGGCTTCCAAGGCTGACACCTAGGCTTCTTTAGACAGCAAGCAAGCATTTTGCTGCCTATTGGGAGACTAATATAGATCTATTTCGGACTGATTGGTCCTCATCAGTTAGCCACACACTTACCATATATTCCCTCCCTGTAGAGGCGAAGTATTTGCTTTCTTCTATTGTCGTAGGTTTTTGTGAAATAGATCTATATTAGTCTCCCAATAGGCAGCAAAATGCTTGCTTGCTGTCTGAAGAAGCCTAGGATAGTGGATGTGATTTCACTGAGCTATGGCTGCAAACTTGTTTACATAGGAAAATACCCGGTTGACCTATGACAAAAGAAGAAAGCATGTATGTGTGTGTGTGTGTGTGTGTGTGTGTGTGTGTGTGTGTATTTTCTTTTCTTTTCGTAGGTGTTTATGTGTATTTCTCTTTAGCCAGGTTCTTCCTATGTAAACCAAGATTTTTCTGCAGCCCTAGTTCAGTGAAATCCCAATCCACTAGTTTCTAGGCTTTTTTTTCCAGCAGCCAGGAAGACTAGTTTCCTTAGTCTCCCAAGGCTGCAAAAAAATCTTGGTTTACGTAGGAAGAACCTGGCTAAAGAGAAATTTGTGTGTGTGTGTGTGTGTGTGTGTGTGTGTGTGTGTGTGTGTGTGATGACCAACACTTGAATTGGACCCAAAAGCAAATTGGTAACTAGTGTATTTCTTGGAACAAGGGTGTTATATGAGCTCTTTGGGTACAAATATTAATACATTATTATATTGATGTAATAATAATCATCCCCAGTGAGGCACTACCTTGATGTGGTTGTTGGATTTGTGTGCTCTGAGGAAGATGGGAGCTATGCCAGAGGTTCAACCATACTGGACAGATCTCATCAGAGGAGTCAAATGAAGAGTGCCTCTCCCCTAAACAATATGGTGAATTATAATTTGCAGAAACCGATACTGGATTGGTCATCACTTGAATTAACAAGGACCATGCTGTTGGAGTTCCTGGACACCTGATGACAAATGGGCTACAGGACTCAAAACTGTTGGCTGAGCAACCAGGGCAAGCAGCTGCCAGACTATTGGAAAAAATGATGTTTACCCATCATAAATATATAATGTTTGAAAATAAAGATAATGATCTATTATTGCAAATTGAGTCCAACAAGAAGAAGATATCTGAAAAGAATGCACCAGTTCTGGAAAGAACAACATTCAGTATCAGAAATAACAGAACAGAGGCTAGCAAATCAATGTAGATTTATAATTCAAAATAAAGTATTCACAGAAGCAGAATTGGAAGAATTGCAAATGTTTATCAAGGGCAAAGGAATGAAAACCTTGCCAGAAGCAGCTCAGACTGCAGAGGCAAACCAGGAGGAAAGAGTAGTAGAGAAAGCCAGCATAGATACTGAATCATTTACATTCCCAACCAGGCACCCTCTCCTCTGCTTTCTCCTTAGAAAGAACAAAATCCTCTTAACTAAAAAAGAAGAATTGAAACAAAGTACAAGTGAGCATCTAGGACAGCACAAAAACAACAGAATAAGGTTGCCTGCATTGAAGCTTTTTCCAGTGAAATAGCTAGCACAAGTATGAAAAGATGCCAATACTGTAATATCAAATATAAACACCAGCTCTCTGCAAGAAGCAAACCAAGTAATATACAGTATGGTTACAGCTATGACTGAATATTTGGGAGGCAAAAGTCAACAGTGCACCATGAAAATGGAAAAGATTAGACTGGAAAGTAAGATCAATATAGTAAGATCAGACACAAGCAAGCTAAAACAGATGAAAGAAGCTGAAAAACAAGACGACCGAAGAATACCCAATCAAAAAGTAGCACCTAGAAACAAGGAAGATATAGGAAGCACCAGAAATAATAAAGCAATAAATATCAACTATAGCCAAGGAGATCAGTAGATATGAAGCTTGAATTCTATAGGCAGAATCTAGCATTTCAGTTGAATCAGAAATGTTTTTATTAATCATCAAATAGAGACTGAAGAGAACCAGTCAATACCTGACAAAGAAAAAACAGTGTAGTTTTGTGCACAGTTATGGGACA